AAGTTTCAATGCACTAGCAAGCTACAATAGACGTTTGAAAGAGATTGAAAGGTGAATACTGATTAACGATTTACCATGTTTGCGATAATCCTAAAGGGTTTGCAAATAAAGGGAACGCGAAACAACCGAGGAATATGTAAGTGTTTTAATCAACTTAACAAAATTTGTAATTGTCACTAATTTGGTATCAACTGTTTAAAGATAAGTTAGTAGTAAAAATACGCCATCAAAATTTATCGACTGCAATTACACGAGAGGTTTTTTTGTTCGGGTAAAACTGAATTTTTAACGAGTAGTTGAACTGCTTAGCAACTTGACGACACAAACCGTCTATGATAAACAAAAGGTGCCGTCAGGACGAGTCTTTTTATCTGACGGTTTGTGGAGTCGATTTTCTAATAAGCAATCAAAAACGAGTTTAAAAAATGAAATTTTTTCCAGCGAAAAAAATCTCGAACGTAATTCGATGAGATAATTTAACAAAATTCAACGGAGAAACACTTAATAATTTCGTAGGCTTGCACGGTCGGAATCAATACATGATCGTTTTCCGGGTTGGAACCGTGTAATTTAAGTTTTTGGGTTTAAAGTTTCGCACACTTTTGTAAGTGGCATCTTCAGGAGCAGGGTTAAGAATAAGGCAAAAGAGCACGGTAACTCAGTATGTCAACCATACCAGAGGCGAAACTGAAAATTTTGAAAAAACAGGAAGAAACAAACGGTCCGTAGAAATAATCGCTGTTTTTAAGGCATTTGCTGTGTTCGACATGTTCCCACTGCATTTCCAGTATTCTCGCAGATTTGAAGCATGGATGACATAGTGGCTGCTAATGCATTCTTTCTGATTCATTCCCTGACTAAGAAGAAGAAGAAGAAAAAAATGAAGAAAATATGGCAGAGGCGTCTATTTTCACAGCGTCAAAACAATGCATGACCGAGAAACATGGACAGTGGGCATTTGAAAAATTTTACTCGCATGGCAGCAGAAGATTTTGAAACATTAATATTCCTTGTGGGTCCTAAAATATCTAAAATGGATACAAAATCCAAAAACGCACGAATACACCGGGCTGACGGTACTGACTGCGCACCAACCAACAAATGAGCGGCTTTGATCTAACCACATTGACCGACCGCCGATGGAAAATGTTCGGCGCAGAGACACGTCCTGACTAGATGAATTTGTAAGCGCGCACACTACGCGTTTGGTTCGTTTGGACTAAAATGTTCCGATCAGGACCCACCTTAATGATTTGTCTTCACGATGCCCTACTCCTTGGAATATTTTTTGCAGAAGCGTTTTACCTTGTTTATATGCCCTTGGTTGTTTATCGACGATTTTGTCCCACCTGGGTTTTGAAAATGCATCTACATGATGTTTTGAAATTCGTTCTGGTTTTTTGATAAAAAACTGCTGTTGTCTGTAAGCATCTTGATTAGATCGATGGTGCTGGCTTTTAAAAGCTCAATTTAGATATTTAAATCTTTGATCTCATTTTTCAACAAATTCGAGTTATCACATTCTCGAATGCTTGACTTTTCAAGAAATTTAGTACGACGTTATCAGTTGTCGTGTTTTCTATCTGTGTGTTATGTTCACAACGGTCCACATGTGGACTATAATTTTGATACCACAGAATCATTCAAGACGCTTCGGATGGAAAACTCTTTCACAATGTGCACATTTGGGACCTTTTACCGCCTTTTGACGACAATATAAACACAATAACGCTGCCTTCCACCACATGGATCAACAGAAGCTAGCGAGTTTCAAGTTAGGAGAATGTTTGAATAATTTTAAATTAGAACGAGGATGTGTGGCATCATCATTGCTCGTTCCCCAATTTCCAAATTTATTTTTCTTTTATTTTTTTTTGTTTGTTCGTTTGTCAGTATTCCAAATCTGTATACAAGCCACCATAATAACTTTGGTGTTGGTGTTGCACTTTAGACAAGTTGTTATGAAATAAGGGATTTTGTTAATTTAATAATAAGTTGTATTTATGTCACATAAATTTGTGATACTGTATTTGAAAAGAGCGAGGAGACTTTATAGTTGAGAAAATGCAGCCTTTTGAAATAACTTAATAAAATTATTCTGAATTCTGTGTCGTTAATTTAAGGTCACTGTTTCACTCTTGCGGTTCACCAGGTTGCATTAGAACGCATTCCGTAATTTCAAAACACAATGTAGTGTTCCACTTCAGTCACAGTTCATGACCACTTTTCCAATTTTTGCGAGTTTTCAAAACTTTGTGCGCATGTCACAATTTTGGCGGAATGTTTGGTTTTGCTCAATTTTTTTATACCCATAAATTTTATTTTTTATCGACTGAAAGTGCTATAAACGCTTTAGTATAATCGCAATAAAAATATAATTATAATCCATTAAAAACATGTACATAGGTTTGTGTCGCGACGCCGACAATATCTGTAATATGTCATATTGACAAATAAGTTAAGCTTTCCCCTTCAAGCTAAAAAGAGTGGCGGAATTTTATTGGGTAAATCCTGTATGTACATATAAGTTCATATAATTTCATAATTTAGATCCACCAGTTTAAAGAAATTGCAACATTTGGGAATTCCTTGCTTTGAACCAGGCTATATAAAACTATAATGTGGTTTGCATTTAATATAATATGTCTCATTTAATATTATATATGTATATACTTATGTATTTATTCTCCAACGGACAATGTTTTTACAACAGAATACAAATTTATAAACAGATTTACATCACTTTGCTGAAAAGTGGTGACTGTATTACTTCAACTACATAAAAGAGTGTTTTATGAAAAATTAATCATCAGTTTTGTACACAACACGAATTCCTAAATTGATCTGAAAAATTTGAAATGAAAAAAATCGTAAATATGACATGAAAATAAAAAAAAATATTAAATTACTGATGCAAATATTCCTTTAGCTGTTTCAATTGCCATCCGTTGAATTTCGTTAGGCTAATGTATACTTCACTTTTAACTTGTTAAGACTTGTTACGAAATATCTTTCTTTATGGACAAAAGAGTCTAAGCAAACTAATGCGTTTAACTTCTGCGTTTATGTTATTTCGTGGCAGCTCAGACAAGAAACAAGTACGACAGAAATGCTGCTCGTACTTATTATAAAAAAAAACTAGAATTCTTGGGTAATGGTCGCTTTAATTGTCGTTTAGAATTGGATTAATTATTTAAATGTATATGGAGTTTCAAAGAAAAATCACAACACAAAGTTTGGACTAAATGTTTAACAATAAGAAAACACGTTTTAAAATCTAAACACTAAATTCTTTCTTTTATTTTCGACATTTTTCTAGAATATATTTAAACAGTATATTAAACTATTATAGTAAGTCGAAAAAATTACGCATTTCGCCACATTTTTTTCACACAAGGGGTATTGAATCCTTTAAAATAATTTTCTACGAGTACTACGTATACATTATTCTATCTACATCTTTGACGACTTGTTAATATTGTTAAAGTTCAAATATAAAACATATAGTAGAACTTTGTATTTTATATCTTTGTGTCGTTAAAGATCTTGCAGGGCATATTCATCTTCCTTAATTTGAAGTAAAGTTATGATTTCAGTTACTCGATGCAAATAGCATCAGATATTACTTCAGTAAGTTTGTAGAAAAAAAGTTGTTTGATCTTGCTTAAAATGTATACACATTTTATTTCGCACGTTGCTTTGTAATTAATGAACTCACTTCGAAAACTCCACTCGATCGTACTGTTTTACTTAGACATTATTATTTTTATTATAGGAACTATTTCCATATTTTTAGTATAAGTTTGATGCTGCTAAGTTTCGCGTCTAAATATTTTTGTGGCAAAAGTATTCTCTGATGGTACGATATTAAGAAAAACAATATTTAATCTGTATATTTATTATTTCAATGCAAATCGAGAAAGTGTACAAGCTTATTCCTGCATTATTTAAAATAAAAGCTTCGTTCTAGTTTCCCATTAACATATATCTTTCCTAATGTATTTTTTTGTTGAAAAAGGTCGTTGTGATCTAATTTTTAGAAAACCCACATTACCTTGCAATTGCATTTCCGTTCTCTATCTCATTTACATATAATCGTAGTAGAAGCATGGCCTGGAATCCTAGCGACTGCGCCACGCTATATAAAAATGTTAACTAATCTTATGGAGTGTCCATAGCGCAACAATTTTATCTACCATAAGACAGATTTCCCGACTTCCATGAACGGAAAATAAAAAAAATTATGAAATAAGCTGAATATTTTGCCAAAACGTTTAGTAATATTTAGGTTAGGCATAGCTGAAGACTCCCACTAGACAAACAAACGACACATACCAGTGCGTAGTCTACATTGCCACCATTCTCAAAATTTCAGAATTCTATCGAAACTATATTGCTAAAGCTGCGTGCAAGCAAAAACCCGAATTCTTCCGTGTACCCCCACACAAAATTGAAGTTCCCAAACCGCCTAATATAGATTTACCCCTAACAGCCAATAACACCTCGCATAAACACTTCTCTCTTAAAACCTTCAGCGACAACAGCACCGTCTTGGAAATTGAACAGGGAATACTTGTACTATTCTCCCTTGCATCCTATCCTCTGCCACACAATATCTTTTATAGTCAAATATTAATGATGAAAATGGAAATGTGAAATATGAAGTGTGCCATGCTCGCGCCGTCCCCGACTACCAACTACAAGATTGGATCCGTTTTTACGGCCCTTAAATTTTGTATACGGCCCTCATGGGACGGCCCCCACCCCCAATTAGTCTGGAAATTTGGGGCGGCGGGTGGGCAGATTTTTCGCCGCCGCCGATGTTTGTGTGGCACAAAGTTATATATGCACAACGCTGCCTAGGGCAACAGCATTTAAAGAAAGCTCCACTCTATAACGTTTGTTCCCGAATCGATCCTCCCCACTTTCGCCGCCCCCACTACCGCCGTCCCCACTTCGGACGACACACGCTAACGCCCGAGTCTTGCAGCGAGCTTCGAGCGGGCGTGAGGCGGCGAGTCACCGCCACCGGAGGAAATTTGCGTGCTTCACTGAAGCTCAACCGCTGTAAAAAAATCGAGCTAAGCCAAATTATTCTATCCCAAAAATAATAATAATAGTAATAATATTAATACTAAATAGCTTGTGTGAGTGTTGGTGTTGTAAATATTTTAACTTGGACAATTGTAAATAGAAGCTTCTAGCTGATTTTGGATTACTCAATCGTGCGTAAGTAGTCCATCTCTGAGACACTAAAAGCAAAAAAAAACGTTATCACTATTACTATTATTATATTTATTAATTGGCGATTATTACAGTTTTTTAATTGTCATAATGCGATCATCATCTGTGGTAATATGAAAACTATAATTTAGTGCTTCCAATCGATTAGCGAGTATTATATAAAATTATTATATGGAATTTTGTTTGGAGCTTGAAAATTAATTTTAATAAGCTCTGGCTGTACGCGCTATGCGGGGTAGCATTTCGGGGTAAATTATGTTCAGTTGGGAGGTAAAAATAGTTTATGGGATGTGATAAATATTGAGATCAGCGTATGTATTTGGTGGTTTTGTAATTGAGTATCTCAGCGGGATCGTAAAAGTGTTTTATTGAATAATAAAAAGGGATTTTAATGGAGGGTACGCATAAGAATTTTTTCAGGTATACACCTGATTAGGTATGGGAAATAATCATTGCTGAGAGAGATTTAGGATAATGTTCGGGGAGTTTAGACGGCAGAATTTTTTGTATTTACATACGTACGTACTTACTCGTTTGGAGTTGAATTTCTAATTTTAATTAATAGTTAGAAACTCCTGATGTTAAAATTACAATATTGTAAAATTTATGAGAGTAGTAAACATGAAATCATTAAATAACAAATATTGTTAATACGTCCTAAAGATGGTTAGTACTTGTGTTAACCGCGTATATAATTTTCGATTTTTACGGATGACTGTTAAATCGCTAAATTAAAACAAATTAATGACAAAGTTTTTTTGTTTGTGGCGTTAAAATCGTCGCTGACACCTATTAACCCCGAGGTATATCTCACTACCAGTGAAATGGCGATTTTTGCATAAGTTACAGAGAATGTTTTTGATGTGCCGAGGCTTCTGAATTTAACTAAAAATTATTATAATTAATTTGATTTCATTTAAATAAATGCTTAATGGTGTCGTATAAAATATGCAGCAGTTGTGAAACGAATGAATATCCCAACAAAAATTGAAGCTAAAACAATGTTTAATTTAGAACAAATCGTTTATCTTAAATAAAACAGTAAAATCGGTTTTTGAAATTCTGAAGAGGGTTCAAAAACCGGAATCTGTCCGCCACGTTGTACGTAAGACTTATTAGAGAATAAAAGTAAAGTTATTTGGATCAGGAACACAAAAGAAATGCTGTTGACAGCGTAAATAAAAATTTGAGAAGAAAAGAAGTTTATGTCATTAAAATAAGCAGCTGATTTTTTTCTACTTGTTAGGTTTGTATTTTTAGGATACATATGTTCATAATTCACATATGTGTATATCGCATCTTAGGGCACATTTTCAGTTTGGACTTAACTTTTATCTATCGCTTGTCATATTTTTAATAGGGAAACTAAAAAATTTACAAAGCTACGAGTACCAAGTTTCTGGAGCGCAATCGATTGCCATTAGAACTATTTAATACTTTATGAGATGATGTTATCAACTTCTGTGGCTACATACATTCAATTTTAGGTACAGAGTGTAAATTACGACACAATTCTTTTCCCAAAGTTTCACATTTCGGCAATAACCGTTAAAATAAATCAGTTCATACATCAATTGAAATATTTCATGTGTAGGTACTTAATTCCATAATAGTATCTTTGGATTATATAGCATGTTTTATAAACAACTCGTAGTTACGAATTTATTTAATTATGAGCGGAGCGAGTGTTTAAAAAGTGAGCATCTAGAGAGATTTATAAAGCTGTTACATACAATGCTGTTTCTACGACTTTAAATTAAAACCATAATTATCGAAACTCTGAAATTCATTATACTACAAAAAAATAAAATACCAACGTTATGAATATTATCAAATTTTGTTAAATTATTATTTTACTTCACAACACAGAACCCAACATTAATGATAGTAAAAATTAAACATACCATTAACACAATTCAGTCTTCAGCGACTCTGGTGCTGCTCCACCTCCTACGCCGTTTAAGGGTATCGGAGTTAGAATCTGCTAAAATCGTTTTGAATTGATCGGCAGCGAGGACGTTATGTTAACAGGACGGAGAATAACTTCAAAAAAGTGACTCCTCTCGCCAAAGACCATAAACAGTAACTAAAGAAAGATGGAATGTGTTTTAAGAGAAATAACCTTGTAAATTAGCGGTTGCTGCCTCAGTCGCAACTCGCAATATTAGGTAGTATACAATGTGCCACTTTAAAACAAACCCAACATGGATAAAAACGTCAAAATTTCCGAGCTATTGTGGCCGCCTGGAAGTAGGCAACCAGTTATACATACATAATGCAGCCACCGGATTGGCAGTTACAACGCGCAAGCCCAAAGAGGAAACGCCACGGTGGAAACGTAAAACAGACTCTCTTCTTCTCCGACCACTCACCGGGTGCAGACGTCCTCTTCTTCTCCGACCCCTCACCGGGTGCAGACGTCCTCTTCTTCTCCGACTACTCCCCGAGTGCAGACGTCCTCTTCTTCTCCGACCACTCACCGTGTGCAGACGTCCTCTCCTCTTCAAGACCTCCACGTGGACATACACATACAACCTTGGGCCTTGTTATCATTTTTGTAGTTGGTATTGTAAATAAACCTGTACTAAAACCGTTTCCGTTAGTAATTCGACGACAACAATTACACTATCAATTCGACAAAAAGCGATTTCAGGTCGTGAGCAAAAAAAGCAGGGTTAACTTCAGTCTGTGTTACTATTTCGTCACGCCTCATTTCCGTGTTAAAACCTAAGTTAGCGCCATCCAGATGACAACTTATGAGAATAGAAAAGCAAATGTTTCTGATAATTTTAAACCTGCTTAAAATTTCCAAGTTGCACATAATTTTTTACAAGTTGTCTTACAAATTTGACCGTAATGTGGAAAGTCAAAAAAAATAAAATTAGGTATTCATTAAAACCTTAATGGCGTAATACCTTAAAATAATTTGGTTTAATATTCTGGTAATTATAGTGGTACTTTAATGAAATTGTTGGCTAGGCGCTGGCTGAGTTGAAAAATCATTTGTATACTTGATTTTAATAACAATTATTTTATTCTTCATCCACCAAAAAAATGTGTCTATTACTTTTAATTTATTGAAACCAGCTTTTGAATAAACTCCTGAATTTTGCATTTTTGGGTTAACACAAGAGACGTGAAGCAAACGATCGTTTCCATAGAATAATTCTCAAGGGCATCAAAAAAATGTTGTATTTTTCAACAAAAATTTTAAATCTCATTGTTTCATGGTTAAATATTTGTTCCGGGACCCACAACACTGAGAGTTAAACGGATAAATAGAGATTTCATGTAGTGCCTAAATTGAATTAATATTTACCCTTAAACACCCAGTTTATTTGTTGAAATATTAATTCAGTTAACTTGAAACTTTAAGCATTTTTGCTTGACAATCCAACTGATTCTTGTTTTCAAAATCTTTCGTGGTTGACACCTTGATTGAACCTTGGATATTGTAGTCAAAATGTGCTGTAGTTTTTAACATGAGGTAAAGACGACATGCATAGTGTAGGTGGTTCCTAATACATAAGTATATTATTTTGATTAACGTACTCGCAATTTTGACAAGTGTTTTTGCAAAAGATGTAGTTATAAGGAGACTCAGTTATACCAGACAGTACAACAACACTATTCAGTTCTATATTTACATTATTATTAGAATCCATAGTTTAGATCTTTAAATACAACACAGTACGATGTCGATGTGAAGTATGACATGAGATGCACGTCGAAACAACGTCATAGATGTAACTTTAAACTATGTACTGTGCTCCATTTTTATAAATCTTTTTTTATAAGTTTTTTTATTTGGATTAAAAAACAGTGTACATGGTTTAAATTTCATTCGAAAAGATGTTAGAAATAAAAATATTGATAAAGAGAAAATATATGCTTTTCTGACAGCCGTAATGATTATAAATAAAAATAATTATTAATAACTAAATTAAAAGATAAAAGTTATAGTTATTAAATAATATATGAAATGCTCCAGTCTTAATTTCACCGTATGACGTACATTATATATTTTTTGTTCTGGTCGACCATACATTAGATGTTAGTAAGTAATGTGTGTGAAACGTAGAAAGTCTTTTGCTTGAGAATTTTGTAGATTAATTCAATCTGTTTGCAACAAAGGTTCAACAAAATAATGATAAATAACAAACGACAAAAAACCCTCTAGTTACTAGTTGATCGTCTTTTTTTCCGGGAACCATGACATATGCGCAGATTCATTGTCACTGTAACATCTGGTGCTCGGATTTCCTTGTTTCATTCAGTTGCCTGTGCATTAAAAGTGAGTCAGGAAGTGATTAGAAGCTGATGGTGTGCATTTTCATCGTTTGTTGTAAATTTATTAATTAAATAAACACATCAAAAAACGAAATTAATTTTGATTCAAGTTTGCATGATTTCACTTCGTTATAACCTCATTTTTTGATATCTAGTGTCGACGTAAACGCAAACACGGTTTAGTGACAAAAGAGGAGCAACAAGTACGTCTTTGTTGTATCATTCGTTACTCACCTACATCCAGTATCGCTTCAGAGAGGTCACTGTGATCTTACATTAATTAAAGTCACTAGATAGATAAAGTAGCGCAATTGGGCGCCATATTGTGTCTGCGCCAAATTCAAAATAAATAAATAAAAATTAACGGACTCGATACTTGCGTACAAAGCGTAAATTTAGATTTTTTTCAATTAAACATTTATTTATGTTTAAGCGTTATTTGTTCAATGCACTTAAGTGCCATTGATAAACATAAGGGTTCAGTAAAAAATATAGATGAGAAACCTTGCAATACCAGTTTATTAACAAAATACCCTATGAATGTATAAAGATTAAATAAATGTAACAAATAACAATAATAAAATTAATTTACATTAAAAGAAAATAATCGTCCCGGCCTATTAAATTCTCCCACATCTCTCTTCTAGCCCTATTACTAACACCTGCAACAATTTAAATTAGTTGAAAAAACTCAA